AGCCTAGAGAGGGAGAGGGACGAAGCTGAGCGCCGCGAGTCGGAAATGCGTAAGAAAGCGCGAGATGCGGTCAGTTTTAATTTGAAGTCTTATTTGGTCCTTGCACTTAAACTGATGCTAACTCGACTTCGCTCTCACAGGCCAAACGTGGTAGAACTCTCGAAGATGAGCTGCAAGAGGTCCAATTACAGCTGGATGCTTGCCGTGAGGAATTGGCTACTCTCAAAAAGTCCACCAAAGCCACAGAGACGGCTCTCGAGCAAACACGCTCCGATCTAGAAAAGGAGAAGCAAGCAGCGAGCAGATCCTTTACAGCCGAGACAGGACGACAGTGGGCCGATGAAGTTGCAGTAGCAACAGCGCGAAACCAGAGTCGCCCAGAGTCACCGCTACTCTCTGTTCCACGAACATTCAGCTCCGAAGCTGTCGGATTATCCGTTCCCAACCGCATACGACGGTCACCTACCCCTGTGAGTATAGCGGATGCTGTGGGAGAAGGGCTCGGCATTCTTCGGCGGCCTCCCACGCATCTCCCGACTCGTACAGGGACAGGGTCAATGTCACTTACTGGATCTATCCCGCCATCTCCATTCTCTCCTCTGGAACCGTCTATGGGGTCACCTCCCGCGCTACCTCCATCCGTAATGGAGAGAGAGAATGGAATCAGCGATACTGCTCCCTCATCTCCCCGTAATCTCGCGCAAGATATGATTTCGGTATCGACAGTAGCAGCGGGACCGTCTGTTCAATTGGTAGAAAGGATGAGTGCCGCGATACGTCGTCTAGAAGCCGAAAGAGTGGCAGCCAAGGAAGAGATGGCGAGGATGTGTAGCCAGAGAGATGAGGCAAGAGGGGACATGGTGGCCCTGATGAAAGAGCTAGAAGACGCAAAAGCAGCGTCCGCAAGGGTCCCAGAGCTGGAGAAGGAAGTCGCTGATTTGGATACAAGATATCAAACTACGCTGGAGCTGCTGGGAGAGAAGAGCGAGCTGGTTGATGAACTGAGGGCAGATGTGGATGATGTCAAGACGATGTATCGGGAGCTGGTTGAGCGGACAGTAAAGTAAGTGAAATGGATGGATGGCGTCGGTTAATAAGGGAAAAGGGGGGAGAAAAAGAAGAAGGTAATGAAGCACCATGACGTGAAATGACAGGTACGGCAGCAGCTGTAGATTAGATTTGTACATTGTTTTTATGTATTATGTTAGATTATGGCTGGTTGAGTACTTATACATATGGCTGGGAAGCTAATCGACTAGCTGGATGCCTTCTCTCTCAGCGCTCTGGATGATGAAGTTGCGAACCTGTTTTGCAGATTGTTAATCCATATAGTCAAAGGCTATCAGATCAGACGATGTTATTAAGAGACACTTACCTCTTTGTCAGGGGCTAAATCAATAGCCAGCTCTCCGTCGTTGGTCTTGAGCGTGAAATCGGCTTCCTCTCTCAGCAGAGCAACAGCAGTGTCTCCTATAAACGCGTACATAAGAATACGTATTAGTTTAGTTCATTCTCAGTAGTAACAAAGCGAGGCTTGAATCAAGTAACCAAAATGAATGGAAACATGAGAACTCAACGCACCGTGACCCTCTGCAACAGCATGATGTAGCGGCGTGTAACCCTCATTATCAGCAGCATTCAGGGGGCTCCTATTCTTAAGCAGGAGCATGACGATGGGAACTGAGCCGACAGCAGCGGCCCGATGAATGGGGTACTGGCCCCGGCGGTCGCGGACACGAGTCGAAGCTGGGGGCTTGGAGTCGATGAGAAGACGGGCGACGTCGAGGTTCTTTTTGGAGGCGACGAAGTGGAGGGCCGTCTGGGGGTTTTGGGTCAGTCATGGAACATCATATACGGTAGGCTATTTAAGACATCATCGTCTCTCTTGTGAAAGGATGATTTTTTGACTTACTTGGCCGTTGTTATCTATACAGATGAGGATTGTTAGATGAGAAATGAACTAGATTGTGTGTGATTCAGAGTGAGACTTACTCTTGATGTTGACATCGGCGCCTCTTGAAAGAAGTAGATTTAGGACTGGCTCGCTGTTGGGGACGCTGGCGGAGATCATGAGAGGAGTCCAGCCGCTGTCGTCCTATTACATGCATGTGAGCAAGATAGTCCCAGGGAGTTGAGCGGAAGCTGCATCATGTTGTACCTGAATATCCGGATCGAAGCTTGCCTGGTTTGCCAAGAGGAGGACAATCTCGTGGTTGTTGGACGAGGCTGCCCAGTGGATTGCGTATCTGCCGTCATCGTCTTTGCGCTTTGAGAGCTTGGGATCTGTCTGTGAGATGAGTTGGCATTTTGAGTTGACACTTTTTATATTCGCAGATATATAGATAGAGATAATGTGTGTGTCTTGTCTGTGTGATGACTTACCTTGAGAAGTCCTTCAAATTCAGCCACTGAGGGTTACATTAGCCATGGCATTGCCTTGAAGCTGAGAGTGAATGAATAAATGTTGCAATACCTCTGCCTTCTCTAGCAGCTGTGTGTAGAGGAAACCGATCACTTTCCGTGTCAGCCATGACGGCGATGGCGGTATGACAAATCTATGAAGGAGAGAAGATGTACAAGAGAAGATGAATATTGTAGGTGTCGAAGGAGTATGATTCTGAAATGGTGAAGTAGAGAAATTGACAGCTCCAACGTTGCCCCGATTTACAACCACAGTTTCCAGGGTAGGCCGCCACTGTATTGCGTAGGTGCTTGTAGCTTTTGCTTGTACTGTTGCTTTTAGCCTTTGATGCTTGCGCCACAGGCTTGAGCTAGAGCCACCCATTACCCACAGCCTGCGCCACAGAAGGCTGACCGGATTTCAATTCAAACTCGCCTCTCGCTGCTTTTCCTTTCCAGACGCGGATCGCCAACTCCAGCCTTCTTCTTCTCATTTTTCTTTTCATTCGCCATGGAGGCACCACAGACGCCGCAAGACGCGCTTCATCTCAGCGCGCTCGCGTCCCAAAATGCAGCTGCGACACGGAATCTGTACTCGCGCCTCGAATTGGCCAACGGCAAGCGCCAGAAGCTCGAGGGCGTCTTTGAGGATGCCGTCATGAAGCGGCGATTCGAGGCCGAATACGCCGCTGTCCAGACGCTGCCCGAGGCGCTCGCCGCTAAACAGCCATCGAAACAGTCTCTGCGGAAAACGGCAAAGACGGGGGCAGCAGCAGCACCAGCGCGGAAGACGCCCAAGCTTCTCGAGGCCGGACCTTCTTCATCGGCCGCATCTACAGCGAACGGAGGCGAATCTACGACGACGAAAGCAATGGGAGCGACGACACCGCAGAGCATGAGTTTGACAGTCAGAGGGTCGCCGGCCATCCAGCAGGTCAAGCCCGAGTGGCATCCGCCGTGGAAGCTGATGAGGGTCATCTCGGGCCACCTGGGTTGGGTGCGCAGTCTGGCAGTCGAGCCGGGGAACAAGTGGTTTGCCAGTGGTGCTGGCGACAGGACTATCAAGATTTGGGATCTCGCCACGGGATCGCTGAGATTGACCCTGACAGGCCACATCAGCACCGTTCGCGGCCTGGCTGTGTCTCCGCGACATCCATACCTGTTTTCTTGTGGCGAGGATAAGATGGTCAAGTGCTGGGACTTGGAGACGAACAAGGTGATTCGTCACTATCACGGTCACCTCAGCGGCGTCTACACACTCTCTCTACATCCTACGCTGGATGTCCTAGTTACAGGTGGTCGCGATGGTGTTGCTCGAGTTTGGGACATGCGCACGAGAAGCAACATCCACGTCTTGTCAGGCCATACCGGCACTGTCTCGGATGTTAAGTGTCAAGAGGCGGATCCCCAAGTTATCACGGCATCCTTGGACTCGACCGTCAGGCTTTGGGATCTGGCGGCCGGAAAGACCATGGGCGTACTCACCCACCACAAGAAGGGCGTCCGAGCTCTGGCCGTCCATCCCACCGAATTCACCTTTGCATCAGGCAGTACTGGCGGCATCAAGCAGTGGAAATGCCCAGAAGGTGCTTTCATGCAAAACTTTGAAGGCCACAATGCCATTATCAACACCCTGAGCGTGAACAGCAATAACGTTTTCTTCTCAGGAGGTATGTTTTACCCCCCTTTCCCTTGCTATGTGATTCATGTTCTGACTGTACAATCTAGGTGACAATGGCTCAATGAGCTTCTGGGATTGGAAGTCTGGTTATCGCTTCCAATCTATGGACACAACTGCACAGCCCGGCTCCCTAGATGCCGAATCAGGAATCATGAGCTCAACCTTTGACCGCTCTGGTCTACGTCTCATCACAGGCGAGGCTGACAAGACTAGTACGTGCTCCTCAATCTTCCCACATATACCTATCGTATGCTAACTCGAATCAAGTCAAAATCTGGAAACAAGATGAAAAAGCGTCCGAGGAGACGCATCCGATACAATGGACGCCGTCATTGGCACACAGGAAATTTTAGCCGGGAGTTTTTGGGAGTCCTTTTTTTTTTATATGTTGTTAATCGTCAAGAGAGTTGTTTATATATCGAGCGGCGATGGGAGTAAGAATAGATCCCTGTGCCGCACTCCGGGATATCACAGGCGGATACGTGTATGTTTACGGATATTTATTTTTTTATTCATTTCTGGACCATTGAAGGGAAATAGCTGGGCATGATGGCAGAAGTCCTTTTGGATTTTGGTTCATGTTGATAAAAGAAACACTTTAATTACGCTATGACTGTTATATGAACCTCAGAAAATTGGGGAACCAGGCAGCAAAATCTCTATCATGTATTTTGCCATGAACAAGGTGTATGCTGGACTCATTAAAAAAAAAAAAACCGATAATTGATCCCAAGGCTTTTCCTTATTCTATAGATCATGGCATCATCGCTATTCCACGATTGGTATCCAAACACACCAAATACTGCATTATAAAAGATATGCTAAGAGCGGGAAAAAAAAGCTTCTTTACCACATCTATGTCCCCCTGAAAAAAAAATGTGATTATGATGTTCAGGTAGATGGAGGCAGACTGTTCCATCTAAATACTCAGACCCATGGCCTTGAGATCGGCGTCATCACGCAGCGCCATCTTCACTTCATCATCCGCAATGGCTAACCGCAGCCTACTCGATCGATCTGCACGATGAGCCTCTAGATTGACTAATCCAGCGGCCACGAGCTCCAGGGCGGCTGTATGAATGTACATTGGCCGCCCTACCAGACGTCGGCCAACAACTTGAGTCCCCTTGGCAAGTCCGGGAAGAATCTGCGCCATGCCAGGGGGAGGTCTGGCCGAAAAAGCGGCCACTCGCTGGAGCTCATCCAGAGTCTCGCCAAGCGTTGTCTCAGCCAAACCAGACCGCCGAATTCTCAGAATCAGCGCGGCCATGAGCATCTTGGACGTCAGCGGGAGGCCACGCAGATGCTGCTGGATAGGATTCGTCGTGGCCTCGTTGATGGCCCTCTTGATGGTGGAAATCGTGACTCTTCCGCGCCGAGACTGATCAGGGGCTCCGCTGCCAGGGGCTTTCTTGCTTGGTGTCATTGGGTCTCCCGGGGCATCGCCCTCGGCGAGTTCGACGGCTCGACGACAGATGTCTAACGCTCGCCTGGCGTCTCCACTGACAGCGGCTACTTTGCGGCTGGCAAACTGGACGGCATCTGCATCGACGATATTCCCCGGTACACCTTCGAGACGAGATTGGATGATCTTCATGAGCTGTTCGTGATTGTATCCTGGAAACGTAATTCGAGTAAGGCCTGTGTTGAATTGGTTAGCTTCTGGTCCTTATCTCTGTCTCATTTAGACTGGATTTTTATAGACATACCTAGACGACTGCTAATCTTGTTACTCAACGTTCTCTCCGGCAGATCCATTGTGTTGGCCACGGCGAGTACGATGAGGCGGCTATGTCGGAGGGTTGGCCAATTGAAAAAGTTGTACATGACTGCCTGGTTCTTTGTGACCAGCTGATCAAGCTCATCCATTAATACTACACATGGAATGCGTCTTGGACTGGGGTTGTTGAACTCGCGTTCCAGAAGATCGAGAGCTTGGGCTGGGCTGGCACGGTCACCCTTGAGAGCCTCCCAGAGCAGCGAGTACGCCTGATGAGGATCAGTAATCTTCATGCCATTGATCTCGACGAAGATAAAGTCATCCAACTCGTCTGACCCGACAGCTTCTTCGAGGCGAGAAATGACCTCTCGCACAGTGGCCGTCTTTCCGGTGCCTGGTGTCCCAGAAATGTAGATGCAGTTACCTGTACCTTCAGTAATGGCAGCTTCCAGGTGTGAGTATACGAGTGAGAATTCTCCTTCACGACACGGTAGACTGGAAGGGACAGCTGAGACGTGAAGCCTTGAACGGGCTATCTGAAATGGAGAAGCTTGAACCTGACTCGGCGACAGCTTCCGGGTGGCTAACGGCGTGAATTCGAGTTTCTTTGAAGCGCTCCTTGGTCCTCGCTTCGACTTGGGCGTGGTTGCCGGGGTTCTTCCTGATTTTGTGGGTGTTTGAGGCGGTAGATATGTGTCGCCGTCTGGCGGTGATTGTGCTCGAGCTCTGCGACGAGTTGGCTTGGTGCCCTTCTCAACCATTTCAATCAGTGCTGGCACATCTTGTCCGTTCTGATACACCTCCTCCCATACAAATTCATCCGTATATGTTGTTGACCGAGTGTTACAGCCGCGCCGGCAGACAAATGTCTTTCCATAGTCGGGAGAGTTCCGCGGGATCTTCCCAGATGGGTACGAACTAAGGAAGGCATCTGGTGACATGATGTTGGCCTTTCCGTCTATCGAGGCCAGGGGATTCACATCCCAAGATGGTGATATATACAGCTCATTCTGCATCATCTGTTAGGAGAAAGATGCCATAGCGACACAACGCCAAGTGATAGCGTCTGCACTTACCCAGTAGAAGTCCTTTCGTTTTCTGTCCTTGTTAAGAATCTCCTTCTCCGTCAAGAACCACATAAAATTGGCAGCCATCCCTTCATTCTCGGCGTCCTCCCGGAAATCACAGATGATGGCCACCCATGTTCCATTAGATCCATCGGCCTTGAGCATCACCGTGTCCCCAACGCGGCATTCAAAGTCGCCATACCGAGCGCCGATAATCTTGGAGCTGGCTGTGACTTTTCTCCTTTTGCGATCGCTCTCATCTTCGCCGTGTTCTGCCTGCTCGGTGTTGTATATCCATTCCCATTCCACCTCTTCGCTTTCGGCACTGTCTTCTGAGCTTTCTCGAGTTACGGTAGAAAGAGCTCGTTTGCGCCCGCGGGTAGACTGAGTGTTGGGTTGAGAAGTGGTTTGAGCCGGCATTGATAACGGCGTCGATAATTTGAACTTGTACCGAGAAGAGAACTATAGTTGCCACTGGGCGGATCAAGGAACTCGAGATTGTTGCTGTGCGTGATTTGTCAATCCGTTGAATTCGATGTTGGTAGTGACAACATTCATATACCAGTTAGATTATGGAATGCAGAGCTTGTCACTTACTGCTGCTACTTTTCTGGTCGCAGGGTAGCTTGGATCAATTAACGCGTCGAGCTTTGGGGGAGACGCGTTGGAAGGCACCCGATAGATACATAATCAATTGGTGCATATTCCAATCTACTTGGGGACATGAGCCTCTTGTAAGTCCTTTGAAGAGGAGTAATAGATGACATGGAGGAGGACTTCTAAAAAATAAATGCAATACTATCCTTTGTCAATAATAATCTTTGTAATATTTGTGCAATATTTACATTCTAGACCTGCGGAAGCGTAAGGAATGGTCATGATTGACTTGAGCGAAGGGCTGCTCAAAGTGCCTTATCAAACAGCAATTAACACTTGACAACAATGGCAGGAAATGCGGTCACTATCTCTATTAATGACCAAAAATCAAATATAATAGGGCTGCATAGTATCAGGAGTATTAATATAGCTAATGGAAAATTAGATCTTTTGATTCAGTCTTACAGAGCATTCTGACGCATGCATGTGTGTACAAGGAACAAACGTCCGTTTGTCAGATGGGCCGTAAAGGCAACTTGCATGCAAAATCTCGACTGATTCACTATATGGAGGTACCTGCCTGGTACTATGACTCTCAGGGCTTGTACCTTATTCACACCCTCTCTTTCAGGGCCTTCCTCTCTTTTCAACTCGTCATTAGTGGTGCCTCAGGCTCTCCCTGCCAACAGGAAACAACTTAACCCAGCCTGCACCTGACTCTCTCGTGCTTGGATTTCTCTTTTCTTTATTCTAAATATTCAGTTTCTTCTTCTCACTCTTCAACCCATTTTGGCTCTCGGCAAACAGATATCATGAACAAAGGCAAGGGTCGAGCGACTCCATGGGTACCCGTGGGAGACGGCCATCGCAATCATGGCAATCATGGCCACCTTCAAAATCGACAGCCTCAAGGGCCAAAGGATCAATGGGGAGTAGCAAAGAAAATGCCAACCGCCAAAGCCCAGGTGAACGATAAGCGGCTGGAGGCAGTTATAAACAAAGAATCCTATCTTGGAGAGCCACCAACAGACCGAGAGCTGATACGGGTAAGTGATGCCCTTATCTCTCCTGCATTGTTCTTGTCAATGGTGATTATTCGTAAGCCGCTAACTCTTCCATGAGGCCCGATATGTGCTCGCTTCCTCCTGGGAAGTGTACCCTTTGGCACTTGAGGACCCTGCCATACTGGATGACATTCGCAAACAGCATCACGTGTGGATCACCAGAGTAAGAGAGACCCAAGCCTGGGATATTTATAGTGAGTCGGCATCTGGTTTGCAAGAAGCTGTTCATGCATTCAACCAAACTGTGCACGATCTGCGCCTGCAAAAAGAGCTTCTTGCTACAGTGCTTGTCGTCCAGAAGAGCTCTAGAGTTACCGAGGACGCTCGCATATCAGTGGCGCCCAATTCGAGACCCGAAGTGACAACACCGTTGTCTGGATCATCGGATATAAAGAGAACTGCGGCAAAACTTCTCCAAACCCTTCGCCCGCATCTCCTCAATTCCACAGAGTGTGCAATGAGTGTTGACTCTGAGCTCAGGATGCGTGTGGATTTCGGCGAAGTGAAGATATTTGTGAAGTACAAGGGCATGAATAAAGTGCTCACTTATGATGAGTTTACGGAAGCGGCAAAGTCATTCTCGATTCGAGGAGGCATTGGACTATTTGACAGGTAATCATCACATATCAGCCTCTCATGGCACCCCTTGCTGATCAGACTTCAAGGTTGAACGAGCTCAAGCTCTCAAATCACGTTATAAAATATTTATTAGCCTTGGAAGGAGATAATGGCCTTCGATTGGACCATAATACCATAAGACGAACGTATGCCTTGACATTGGGCTTGCAATGGAAAGAGGTATACGTAGAAGGCTGCGAGAATGGTAGCTTCGATACCTTACGAGCAAAGATGGGCATTGCATGCCCAACCAAGTGGCTCAACTGGGTGATGGCCACCCCAGACATGTAAGCTGCCCCAAGGTCGTCGAATGCGCTCTCTGTATTAATCTAAAACGGTTTAGGAGACTTGATTGGAGCATTAGAGCAGATGCATACGATTTTGAGAGTGTACCAGACGGCATCAACAAACTTATCAACGAGTTGAGTCTTATACCAGCTACATACGAAGAAACGGACGATTTTCTCAAACCGGGTGAGGTGATAGTCGGTCAAGCCGGGCCGTGGAAAGACAAAATATCGGAAACTCGCCTGAAGACGACGTTCGCTGTCGAACTTCAGGGTACTCCCTATATGCTAGAGATAAGCATAACCCAGATCTGGAAGGGGCTCAAGACGAGATCGCCGGCAAAACTCGCGTGGGGCATTCAGCTTTATGGCAAGCACTGGGATTCGGCCATGAACCAGGTGAATCCGCATAGTAGGAGGAAGGACTGGGGAGAGGGACAGAAGAATGTTTGGGTTGGCACTGATCCAGATCTGGGGAGGAGGTTCCGAAGCTTCCTTGAAGTCGTCTTGCAGCTCCAGCAGCATGTGGAGGATGTACCGCCCTTGATCTTGGAGGAGGATGAAGATCTCTCAACCGTGGCCAATGTGTAGGTTCACAACCGGGGCTATTTTGTCGTGTGAGGATAGTAATCAATGATCAGATGGACGCGCAAGGTAATTCTTTTATTCAATTTTTTTTTGTCTCCCGGGTTGTACTTTTCAACTTTGACCCTCTGCTGCTTGGCTGGCCATAATCTTGTTCCGTAAAACTGTTGAGAGTGCAACGTTAGTAACCGTGGGATGAGTGATTCGGCAAAAGTAAGCAGACATACCCTCTTCTATTGTGCGAACATTCATCTGTTTCCTCTGAACAATGGCCTCGAGCTCCTTTAAGCTATTGCCAACCTCCTTCACTTTTGCATCGTAGAATTTCTCGGCCGATTTTAGCTTCTGTTAATTGTCAGGTTCCCATCCTTTGAGCCAGGTGGTAAAAAACAGGTATACCAACCTTTTCAATCATGAATCCTGTGCCCACGTCCACCAAGACGGTATCGGTGCTCGTCAACTCGCCGCTGACGTAGAGAGAGTTGGTCAACGGGACCAAGACAGATTTTGAGCCTGTTTATATCGCTACTTTAGCTTTTGTTTCCTTTTCTCTTGCTCTCCCCCCTTTCGTCTGTTTGCGACACCCCCATTGACCGATGAACTATGGATATATGATGTACCTTGGCTATCGGCGGCTCGGGCCTGTACGCATCGGAGGCATTCCTTGAACTTGTTCTGGGCGCCGTGGAGCTGGGCGAAGGAGCTCGTCAGGTGCTCGAGCTCCTCTTCGAGCTGCTTCTTGACCTGCGCGAGCTGCTGGGGCTCGAGAGTGTCGAGATTGACTAAACAGTACGAAAAGCAGGCGGTTAGCACTATTGCACAGCTTCAAAGCAACGAGAATGAAGGAAAAAAATCAGGAGAGAGAGGGGGGGTTTGGAGCCTTACTGGTCTCTGTCTGGTTGCTCGACATGGCTGCTCGTGGTCGAATGTTTCGGCGCCTGAGAAGCTTGGGGCGAGCTGGAGGTTTAGAGACGAGCCCCTCCATGCACCACTACGCGGGATGACTTTAGAGGGGCTGGCGATCCTTGTAACGAGGACGTGGGATTTACGACGGTTTGGACGGGCGTTATATCATGAATTCATGTCAATTTTATGTGTAATGTGGATAATTAAAAATTTCAATTGTTTTTATTTATTTTATTTCTATTTTTTCTTTTTATTTAAGTTGTACCAGATTGGAGAGATGTTGATATTTACCGCTGTGTGTTTTTATAGCCGCTCCAGCAAAGCCGTCAGATATTGGGGTACATCTTCTGCCTTGACATTCTCCTTCACCGAAAGCCTCCTGCATTGCACTTCGCAGACGCCATTTTCTCTCCAGGCCTTTCCAAGTACAATTACAACAGGATAGCCCGTCATATCTGCGTCCTGCATCTTCCATCCAAATGCTTCCTTGCGGTCATCCAGGACAATGTCCAGTCCAGCACCAGTGCCCTCATGCTTTGCTAATGTATCGTAAAACTCCAACGTCTGCTCATTGACTCCGGATGTTGGAATCATGACGACCTCAAAGGGTGCAATAGCCCGTGGCCAGTTGAGTCCTTTATCATCTGCCATTTGTTCTGCCACAGCACCGAGAATGCGAGAAACGCCAATGCCGAAGCAGCCCATTTGGACTGGAACTTGGACTCCTGGGTTTTGTGGGAGTGCTACAGATGCCTCCAAAGGCTCTGAATAGCGTGTTCCGAGAAGAAAAGTGTGCCCTAGCTCCAATGCGCGATGGATCTCAAGCTTCCCTGTATCACAGCGAGGGCAGCCATCACCGTCCATGATGCGCAACAGGTTTAGATCCCCGCCGTCTGTTGTCTGCGATATTGACGACTGCTGGATTTGGTCACCAGCGAGATCCGCAGGAAATAGAGGGAGGTCGCCGCGAAGATCCTCAAAAGCCGTTGCAAGTCTCGAATCAATGACATTCAGTAGCTGAAGCTCTCCACTATGCCCATCTGCCTGTTGAACGGCCTCCTTCCAGAATGAGACGGCGTCACTGACACTGGTATCAAGTTCGGGAACGACCGACTTGACAGCGTGGATATTATAAACGTCTCCAGACGGCGAGTTCCCCAGAAGTGGGTACCACACATTTACAAGTGTCTTTCTGTCGTTTGTAATGCCGCGCCAGATGCCAAAGGATGAAAATGAAGTAGCGTCATCAAGCTGCCTGGATGACCGAGCCGCAGCTACTTCGTCGTTGGCGGTATAGCCACAGCTATTGCAGGATGCGACAGTGTCCTCTCCAATGGCATGAGAAAGGTGATATTCGTGGCTATGCTCTCCGCCCATGTCCCCTGAGCTGGCCTCAGCTACTAAGATGGGCAGCTTCAAGTCTGCGAAGAAGGCACTGTAGGCGGCGGCGACGTCGCGATAAGTCTCAACAGCGTTTTCAACAGTCAAATCAAATGTATATAGATCCTTCATGATAAATTCACGAGATCTTAGTAAACCGTGCCTAGGGCGGATCTCATCTCGATATTTTCGTGCTGTAAAAATTAGCGAGAAGCTACGCATGAGGAGTGACTGGAATCAGTCATGGGCTCATACTGATTTGATATAACTTGAGAGGCAAGTCCTTGTAAGACTTCAAAGTGCTGGCCACAAGGGACGTGATCTCTTCCTCATGTGTGGGTGACAGCATGATGGGAACTTCTTTCCGGTCACGGAGCCGGAAGAGCTGGCGTAGTGTTAGTAAAATGCATCTCATTCGCTTGCGAACGCAGTTTTTACCTCAGAAGAGACTTTATCTAGGCGGCCACTTTTGCGCCATAGCTCTTCAGTTGTGAGGGTTGATAGGGCTAGTTTGGAGGCTCCTAGAAAGAAGTTAGTCCAACCATCACCTCAGAAATGTGTGGTGATTAGACTCACCGAGGTTTTGCATATGCTTGTCAACCAGGCGCTCAATCTTATCCTGGACACGCAGTCCCAAGGGAAGAAGTTGGAAAACTCCAGATTGTGCCTGCAAAATTGATTTAGGTTAGCAAAACTATCTTGCACAGGGTCAGGTCATCATCTGAGGTGAGGTCGGCTTACCTGACGTAAAAATCCAGCTCGGATAAGCTTGCCATGGCCAGCTATGAACAATTAGCCCAGCAATTCCTCAAGCTGATGAAAGAATAATTGCATACTTTCTCCCTCAGTGGCCGAGACGCCGCCAGTGGGAACCCATATCTTGGACAGCGTTGATCTCAGCCGTATAGACTGAGCAAAAAGAGGCTGTGAAAAAGCTCGGATGGGATTCGAGCTACGAACGGTCTTTAGCGGGCGAAGTCCGCCATGATAGATCAAGGCTGGAGCACGCATGTTTAATGAGTGGGGGAACAATTCATTCTAAGTTTTACATGATTCTTGAATGAGTGAAAACAATGCAATATTCGCACCTCGTACGAGGTGAGACTTATCACCAATGAGAGAGCCTGTGTTAGGTTCAAGACAATTTAGACGGCGGTTCCTTAAGCGCATGGCGCTAACAGCAGACGCGATAGGCGCTACGAAATCTGCGTGGGCCGATAAGATAAGCAGCTTTCAAAAAAATTACTTGCGTCGCATCCAGAAATTTGATGCAGCCGATTTCTACTACAACACACTCGGCAGCATCTTCACCATGGCCAAGCACTCCAAAAAGGCCAAAGGGCCCCAGCGCTCTGAAAACGATGCGGCCAAGCTGAAGAATGGATTGAGCGAGCTCACTTCTCAGATTCAGGAGAAATTGAACGGCAATCCCTACAACAAGCGAAAGAATCCACCTACGGAAGCCTCTGGCAAGCAGAAGCAGCGAAAGCAGCGCGATTCCGAGGGTGCACCGCCCGCGAAAAACACCAAGGCCGATGAAGAGGCTTTGCTGGCTGAAATCAAGGCCCTGGGAGGCGACGAGGAAGATTGGCGTCTGATCAATGAAGTCGCTTCCGATGATGAAGCAGTCGCTTCGGAGTCAAAGGCACCAGTAGACAAGCGTCTGAAAGAGGAGCTGGCAGCTCTATCAAAAGAACTTGGCTTTGCTGGACTTGCGCCGGTTGATGCTAGCGATGACGAAGAAGAGGAAGAAGGCGATCAGGAGGAGGAGGAAGACGACGAGGAAGATTCCGACAACGATGTTAGCGAAGACGATGGCAAGAACAAGAACCAGAACAACAGCAAACCCAACAAGGAATCAAAACAAAAAGGCCCTGCTGAGAATGATATGCGACGTGTCGAAGGCCTGGTAAGTTGATATCCTTGAGTCTCAACGGCATCTCTGACAACTAACTCAGTGAACCAGATTTTCGAGCCGCGCGCAGACTGGCATGCTGCTAGACTAGCCCAGCTACCCGGACCTACGGTGGATGACATTGGCCCATTCATGTCAGCCATCAACTCCTTGAAGGAGCATGGAAAATATCTCTTGGAGACGGAGGCGGCTAAATACAGAACAACCATCTTTGCATCCTCGTCTCACAAGTTTCTTGCCACTATCATGACGTCTGGTACTCTTACAGACAAGGTTTCCGCTCTAACCCTGGCTTGTCAAGAGTCTCCCGTTCACAACATTCGCGCATTCGACACCCTGATGAATCTAGCCTCGAAGAAGAGTCGAGCACAAGCCATTGGAGCTATAGGGGCACTCGTGGATATGCTTGGCCCCGGAACACTCCTGCCATCGGATCGACGATTGAGGACCTTTCAGTCTCAACCAGGCCTTTTAGGCTCACTTCAGCGAGCTTCTGCCAAAATCTGGGCCCCAAGTCAACCTTTGCCTGGCAAAATTACACAAGCGCATTTAATATCTTGGGCATACGAAGACTGGTTAAAGGAGACTTATTTCAAAATCATTCAACTTTTGGAAGTCTGGTGCTCCGATGAGATCGAATACTCCAGAATGAGGGCAGTCGACTTCGTCTATGCCTTGCTAAAGGATAAGCCGGAGCAGGAATCGAACCTTCTCACTCTACTCGTCAACAAGTTGGGTGATCGTGACCGAAAGATTTCCTCACGGGCGTCATATCTCCTCCTACAGCTGCAAAATTCACACCCTGGTATGAAGCCGGTTATCGTACGAACGGTGGAACAGGAGATTCTACTTCGACCCTCGCAAGACCATCGTTCACGCTACTATGCCATCAACACCCTTAACCAAACGATTCTTTCAAACAAGGAGCCGGCTGTAGCCGAGTCTCTACTTCGTATCTATTTCGACCTTTTTGCCACAATACTCAAGACAGGAAAGCTCGGTATGCCGATAGAAGAGGAATCTAGCAAGCCCCAGAAAGGACAGAAAGGACAGAAGCCTGGCAAGGGCTCATCATCTGGAAAGCCAGCTAACCAGACAAAGCCAACAGCCGCTTCTGTCCCAGAGTCTGAGGCAGCTGATAAGCTTGTTTCTGCCCTACTGACCGGCGTCAACCGTGCCGCACCATTTGTGGGCACGAATGACATGGTGTAAGTGTCTAAATCTCAAAGCAGTTGCAGCAGAATTGTGTGAAAATGGCTAACTTGTTTATAGTATGGAGCGTCATCTCGACACGCTTTTCAAGATTGCGCACTCTTCCAACTTCAACACTGGCATCCAAGCTTTGCTGCTCATTCAACATCTCTCCTCTGCCAGAAATCTTGGCAGCGACCGTTTCTACAGAACTCTGTACGAGTCGCTGCTTGACCCACGTCTCATGACCTCTTCAAAGCAGGCGCTCTACCTAAACTTGCTTCTGCGCGCACTGAAGAACGATGTCGACGTGCGAAGAGTCAAGGCTTTCGCCAAGCGAATGCTGCAGGTGGCGGGTCTGCATCAGCCCCCTTTTATTTGTGGCTTGCTCTATGTCATTTCTCATCTCAGGCAAACGTTCCCCGACCTCTCAACTTTGGTTGAGTCGCCCGAAGAATCCGTATTTGATGACGAAGAGCCTGAAAATCGACCGACGTACGATGGACGCAAACGAAATCCAGAGCACAGCAACGCCCACCGAAGTTGCCTGTGGGAAGTGGTTCCAATTCAAAGTCACTTCCACCCTGCCGTCAGCAAGTTTGCTTCTTCATTGATGGACAGAAACCAGAAAATGCTGAAGCCTGATATGGAGAGCCACAGTCTCATCAGATTCTTGGATAAGTTTGTGTACAGAAACGCAAAGGCCACGGATGCACGTGGTGCATCCATTATGCAGCCTCTCAAGGCCGCCAAGGATATTGGAGACATCTGGCTGGGTAGCGGACGGACTAGCTCATCCACGACCCAAGTCAACTCGGCTGCATTCTGGAACAAGAAAGCAGAGGACGTTGCTGCTGAGGATGTCTTCTTCCACAAATACTTCCAGCAAATCGCCAAGGAGGGCAAGGAGACTACGAAGAAGGCGGCGGCAGGTAGCGAAGACGATGAGGGCGATGCGGAAGAGGACGAGATCTGGAAGGCATTGGTCAATGCTCAACCTGACATTGATGAAGATGCCTCGGATGCTGGCTTTGACGATATGGATGATCTGGACATGGGATCTGATGACGATGATTCGCCTGCCTTGTCACTCGATGGCGATGAGGATGATGAGGATGATGTTAGTGTGGAATTTGGTGACGACTCAGAGGAAGAAGGCTCAGATGACGACGAGCTGGTCGCTCCAGATGTGCCCGATGAAGACGAGGAGAAGGGAGACAAGCGCAAGGCTAGAAGAAAGATGCTCAGGGGTCTGCCTACGTTTGCGTCTGTGGACGACTATGCAGAGCTTTTGGCGGGAGATGATGACTTGTAGAATAGGCAAAAAGCAGATTACATGTAATAAGGAATTCAAATCGGGCCTGGAAGGCGGCGAGAAAACAGGAAATATGTTTATTGGTCAGTCTACCAGGGCGCGCTTGTCTTGTGTATTAGAGCTACACAGAGGTGTAAGTGATGCCCGAGGTGCACTAGTAAAGTCTGCAGTGATGCTTCCTCGTGGCTTGGGGCGAATGTCACTCTTGACAATATGTCATGGGATTCTCGAAGCCTTTCCCATTTGATTTGGATGCAACCATGATGAATAAAAGTGACAGTCAGACGGGAAGGAAATGTCCGATCCGAAGCCACGGTGTGTCTCACACGCCTACGCAGTAGAGAGCAGGAAAATATCCGAGGCTTTCGCTGCCCGAACTCGGATACGCCGATGGAGCCAAAGCGCGGGCTTGGCTAGAATCGGGATACCGGACCGCTGATAAGAGCCGTATCAGTTTATCTTATCGGCGCATACTGTACATACAATATTATGCCGGTGAGGATTATAAAGGCGTGATGGTGTGTGGTCGGTCCCTTTTTTTGCCTCGGCAATTATACGTTCTTTTTTTTGTTGGGCTTTTTCACTTGGTTTTGTGTTTAATTTCTCGTGTTTGTTTCTTGTTGCAGAGGAGAAGCGTGAAGATAGGAGGAAATAAAGAGAGGCAATTGCACGGAAATGTTTAGCCAACACGTTGCCCGTGGCGGGCGCCGCATCGGCCAGATGGCTCGAGGTGGCCTACATCCGTCACTTGCTGCGCTCAGAGGAGCTGCTCAACGACGATGTTATGCTGAGGCTGCACAGGGTGAGTTTTCTCGAGGATTCCCTCCATCTCTGCGTGTGGAAGACATGCGGAGAGAGAGAAGAAGAGGATCGTGCTAACGTCTGAGCTGTTTTCCACCACTACAGCCCCCAAGGGACGTATCGGTCGAGGCCTCGGGCTGCTCCTGTATGGCGTCGCATTCAGCGGCCTCGGAGCAGCAGCAACATTCTATTCGATGGTACAAAAGGGCTTTGCCTCGTTCACCGACGCCGAGTCCGCCAAGCTATTTGTCCCCGACAGCGACGAGCTGCAACAAATCGAAGAGACAATCAACAAACACCCGCTCGTCCAAGAGCTTCGATTACGACCAGAGTTCAAAGAATCACGACCACACCTAAAGATGTCAAGCGAGGTCCGCAGCCGTACTCTCACAGGCGGCGCCCTACAAGGCGACGGCATGATCATGGTACCCCCCGTCGCCTTCATTGAGGACGGCGGCAAGTCCATCGTCAGCGTCACGTACATCGGCGACCGGCTGTGCGGCCACCCGGGCCTCGTGCACGGCGGCCTGCTGGCGACGATGCTGGACGAGGGGCTGGCGAGGGGCTGCTTCGACGCGCTGCCGCACAAGATTGCCGTGACGGCGAGCCTGGAGATCAACTACCGCAAGCCGACGCAGGCCAACAGCTTCCTGGTGCTGCGCGGCAAGACGGTCAAGGTCGAGGGGCGCAAGGCCTGGGCTGAGGGATGCATCGAGACGTTGCCTGCGCCGGGCGAGAAGCCGGTCACTTTGGTCGAGGCGAAGGGATTGTTCATCTCTCCCAAGTACGCGGCGGTAAGTTTTCAGTCTTTTGTCTCAGATATGCATTTGTAAGGCTTACTGTGGCTGACAATCTTAATCTTCGCAGCTGATGCCCCGAATCACCTAAATGATACATGCGGTGGAATCATGGCGAGATGAGAAGACGAGCGTATAGAATTGCGACGTTTTTCTTTTTCTTTTTCTCTTTATTTTTACTTTGCTCTTTTTGACATTTTTGGAAAGCGACGGCGGGAATAGATTATACTAGAACTGCACATACTTTAACAGCGAGGCAGTAGGGGGGATGCTTGTTCGGCTTTGCCTTAGATGGAGCTGAGCCAGATGGATGCTTTACATGATATACCTCTAGTACATTATTTTGCAATCAGTCAAATACACATCAAGTACATACACTTGCAAACGACAATACATGTTGAGCATATATCTCTTGATAAGGCCAATGATAGCACTAAAAGGATGTGCTGCAGAACAGCTATATGCAAATCTCACTTAATCCCTCCCACCTACCGTATGATACTTGGCTTCCCTTTCAATGTTATGGTCAATTTTCCGAGGTACACAGCTTTACCTCAGGTATTGCATACTATAGGTAGATAGCATTTCAGCATAAGGCTGTATAACACATCGATAGTTTCATGATTAAGAAATCATTGGGCTGCTAGAATGGAATCACATAGGTACGAGTATGTAATTCATTTGTCAGCCCTAGCTTAGGCGTTTGGATATACATACATACTGGCTCTTTGTGGAGTATGTCGCAGATTTTGCGATCTAGCGCCCTCTGCTTCTTATGATGTCATAGGATACAAAATCACAATCAACTCGCTCGTCTGCTTTGGTCTTTGGGATTGTGAATTGGTAAGTAACGGTTGTCAGCTGCTCCAATATGGTTGTATCTTTGCTAGCCGTAGCATCGAATTTCATAGGCCAAAGCCATCCATTTTCTTTTACTCCACATTCCCAATTAGGACATCGAGATGGGGTACTACGCCCTCCGCCATAGATTCTGTGGCTGTACATAGAGGCCCAAGCCGAATTGGTGAGAAAAAATGATCTTACAAATCGTGATTCGCCCAGCCAAAGCCGCCAGATTTCCAACTCGGGCAATGGTCTTCCATGTCGCACGTAAGTTTCTGGAGCTATAGTAACTTGTTGCGATTAAAATCTTACAAATTGCTGTATGTTGGAGATCGCTTAGAGGGTTGTTTAGAAATGAAGCGCTTAATACGTATGATGTAGTTGAGAAATGGTTTCATGCTCCAGTATTCTAGGTAACTACACCGATTTAAGATGAGTTAGTGATATAAATTCGTACAACTATATTAATACCTCTTGAACCCAGTTCTGCATGTTACATTCCACAACTCTAAAGCATTTATAACTCATTCTGACTTACTAGCCACTCGAGACCGATTACACATTTAAACAATAGCCAATAATCCAACAACATGACGAAACTCATTGCCATCACAGGCATTACCGGAGTTCAGGCAAGTATTTCTAAACGAATACCTTCTATTTAATTGAATGCATCTTAGTTAGTTACTAATGCCATATCTAGGGCGGCTCTGTTGCCAACACCTTCTTCCAAACCCCTGGCTATACCATCCGCGGTGTAACTCGCAATACCGAATCCGCAGCAGCCAAAGCATGGGCAGCAAAGGGCGTCGAGATCGTCAAAGCCGATTTTGACGACGTCGAATCGCTTAAGCGGGCCTTCCAAGGCGCCAATGTCATTTTCGGCGTCACTGATTTCTGGAACATCTTTGGGGACCCTCGAAGCAAAGAGCTCAAGAAACCTGATCAGGAACTTGTCGAATACTGCTACGAAGTCGAGCTACGACATGGCAAGAACCTTGCTGATGCTGCAGCTTCAACGGCATCCACATTAGACCGGTACATTTTCAGCTCCATGGCTAATGCAACCCAATCAAGTGGTGGCAAGTTCTCAAAGCTATATCACATGGACTCCAAGGCCCAAGCCGTTACATACGCACAAAGCCTTCCTGAACTCAAAAACAAGTTCTCTCAAATCCAAGCCCCAATCTACTACCAGATTGCACTAGAATGGGGACTACCAGTAGAACCAACAAAGGTAAAATCTGAAGAACTCCTCTCCTCTCTCTAATCATTATGGCTCAGCTAACATTTTGGTCTGTTCAGCAACCTGATGGCACTTATCGAATGAAGGTCCCCGGAGCTGCCCACAAGCCCATCCCCCTCGGAAACGTTGGCACTGACCTTGGGCCTAACGTTAAAGCTCTTGTTGAACAGGCGCCTCCCAACACAAACTTATTTGCCGTGGGCGAATATCTTTCTTGGACCGACTATCTTCGCATCTTCTGCGAGACCCAGGGCGTCAAATATGGAGGCGTTGACGAGCTGACATATGATGAGATTAATGAGCTCATTCCCGGTGGCTTGGGTCATGAATTCGGATTGAATGTCTTATTTGCATTTGAATTCGGGTATGAGGGAAGAGAAGCAGGGATTGTTGGGCCAGGAAAGGTAAGTTTGATCTCATCATACAAGAGGCGTTCAATATGCTGACTTTAATTCATCTAGTACGGGATTAGAATGTCGTCTTTTAGAGAATACTGCGAGAAGGCTGATTTCTCTAAGTTGTTGAGCAAGTAAAAGTAAAATAGACATGCAAATTTAATACACTATTCGACATTATTGCCGTTTCCAACTCTGAATTCCTTAATATCAATTATCAATGAAGTACGGGGTACAAAGTGCAATGATCTCAACACTCTCCAGTTGACACTATGTGGGACAATTCAGAGAATTCAAGAGCATCCATACAAATGAGACAAAAAGGTGAGGTGCGGAAAAACAACGGGGGGGGACCAAGGCAGCGGAAGTCGGCGGTTTCGGACTGTCGCCATCAGCCTCCCCAATGAGCACATCATCCGCCTTGGCCTATCTTGGAGTAGAATTCGACGTTGCAAGTGGGTTTTCACCAGCACTAGCAGCATCTTTTTCTCATTTTTCTTTAGCATGTCGCAACCGTGGGGGGAATGTGTCTTTTAATGCTGGGCGAGGGTCCGAGGAGATGCTAGTGGGCGAATTTGCAACCAACTTACAGAGACCAACTCTAAGAGATCGCCCATCTCGCATCTGTATTTCATCATCATCCCTCTTTTTTTGTACCCATATATGTCGCAGTGAATCTCCACCTTACCTTTTCCATCTCTACATCTCTTTCCCCTCCTTTTACCAGTCTTTTAGTCTGCTTGCTTTTCTTTTTCCTCCTCGTCTAAAGCAAACAAGCGATTCAGCCTTTGTCAATTCATCTCACAATGGCCACGTGCGTACCCCAACGTAACCACCTTTGCCCCTCCCCCGCCTTGCAACACTTCAGATGAAATGTCACGATGCTATCTTCAACCCTCACCAAACCACCATAATTATCTGCCATTGAATCATCACCACCACCACGAATACTCCAAACAAAAGCTAACTCCCAACATCAGCAACATCACTTGGCATCCCTCCCTCTCCCGCCGCGAGCGCAACCAGCTCCGCAACCAGCGCGGCCTCACCATCTGGCTCACAGGCCTCTCCGCCTCCGGCAAATCCACCGTCGCCACCGCCCTCGAGCAGCACCTCCTCCACCTAGGCCTCGCCGCCTACCGCCTCGACGGCGACAACGTCCGCTTCGGCCTCAACAAGGACCTCGGCTTCTCCGAAAAGGACCGCAACGAGAACATCCGCCGCATCTCCGAGGTCGCGAAGCTCTTCGCCGACGCCTCCACCATCGCAATCACCTCCTTCATCTCGCCCTACCGCGCCGACCGCGACCTCGCCCGTGAGCTGCACGCCAAGACGGAGCAGGACGGCGACGAGCCTATTCCCTTTGTCGAGGTCTTTGTCGACGTGCCCCTCGAGGTGGCCGAGCAGCGCGACCCCAAGGGTCTCTACAAGAAGGCTCGTGCTGGCGAGATCAAGGAGTTCACTGGCATTTCGGCTCCTTATGAGGAGCCTGTCAACGCTGAGATTACAATCAAGACGCATGAGAACACGGTTGAGGAGTGCGTTGCGCAAATCACAAACTGGCTCATCGCCAAGGGCTACGTCAAGAGTGAGGTCAAGAACTAGAAGCAAGTATTACTCGGAGGGAATAAAGAGATAAGGAAAGGGGAGAAAAGGAAATAAACGTCCGGGCGCAAAGAAAATCACATCACACTTGGTCTTTTTCACATTAAAAATGGTGGATTCATATAGAACAAGGTGCAACGAGAAAAAAAAAAAGTCTTATTAAGGACACAGACAATAATGATAGAATACAGGCGTATGACGCTTTTTAGAAAAAAATTATACTCTATGCCACGCTCAGGGAAATTCGGCCTCGTAGTAAACAAAAGCCGTGTACTCGTGTCCCTCGCCAGTCCCCAGTCCTGCCGCAGCCATCTCTGAGCTGAGGGCGGCGTCGTCTTTGGTGACCCTGCCGTGCTTGTCTCGTCCAAATGCATTTCCGCCCAGGTACGAGTACTTGGAGTCCAGCGCTGCCTTTGCCTTGGGGGCCAGCTTCGATGTTGTCTGCGCCACATGTAGTCAGTCTTGTGCACGAGTATATACATGAACAATCTGAGATGGTTGATGGGGATGGGGTAGACGAATAAGGGGTAAATTCGCAAGCAGCGGCGTAACGCAACATACCTTGATCAGAGCCGTGGCGTAGTCCAACGGCAGTCCATATCGTAGCACAGCCTCGACAAAGACGCGCAAGGTGAGGACATGAACCCAGATCATGACACTTTCGCTCCACCCAGTCCTTCCCATGCGCAGAGCCTCGCCGCAGACCTTGCGCTCTTCGTTGGTGACGCGATCCAGCTCACGCTGCTCTTCCTCCCGGCCGCCCTCGACATACTTATACTGACGGGGCGTCCATTTCTGCTCTCGGCACTTGTGGACAAACTCGGCGCTGTGCTTCTTGAATGTCACAACAGCAAACAGTGTGAACTCGTCGTCATGGTCGACTTCGACAGAGGACCGGGGCACCACCATGGGCGCGAGGGTTTCGTAGCTCTTAATGAAATCCTTCTTTGCGTTCGTCGGCACGGCGATGAGGTGGGTCTCGAGGTACTCGGAGTCTTGGACGAGGAGCGATGGCTTCACAATCGGGGTGAGAGATTTCGTTGCGAGAGTGCCCCTGCAGCGGAGACAGGTCAATTAGCGAAGAGCAGCTGGATGGATGCGAGGTACTCACGTTTGTCTCCTTTGCAGAGCTGCAAGGTTCGTCTTGACGGTGTTGTACTGGTTGAATTTGGACTTGACATCATTGTCGACCGTGTTGAGCTCCTAAGCCGCGCGTAAGATGGATGAGCTTCGCCTGGCGAGTTTGGACCAAGTTTTAATAAAATCATACCTTCTGGAGAGTGCTGATGAGCTCGGCTATAGGTTTATCGGCTCGGTACCTCATCTTGTTCCAGCTAAAGTTGCGCAGATAGTGATCGGTTGGCTCTGCCGCATGTCGTCAGTTCCCCCACCACGTACACCATATAGAAGCGCATATTTGGCTCGACTAACTGTCATTGACCATCTTGTACGAGGCCATTCGGTCTTCATCGTTGTTGAGCACGGTGCGCAAGGAATCCGCAACCTTGGCGACGACCGACTGGCACGCCGCGTCGAGCTTGGCCAGGTCATCGGCTTGCTGGACCAGCAGGTCTAGAGTTCCGATCTTGAAGTCGGGGATGGCGAAAGGCAGGACGGTGCCATTGTCGGCGGTGATGGTCGCGCTCAGGGACGAGATGGCTTCATCCCGGCTTCCAGAGTCAAAGGCGCTTCGAGGCAGCGATATCAGCGCATATTTGGACGACATGGCGGTGGCTGCTGGTGACGGAGATAGAAGTAGACCCGATGAGGAGGAAGACGAGAAGAGCAAAGAGAAGGGACGAGCAAAAGCTGGAGGGCGGAGAGGATAAAGAGACGGAAATCTCTCTCAAGCAAAGGCCCGGAGGAGGATCGCAGCTCTGGCTTTGAAGAGAAAGAAAAACAGCGCCGAGACAAGCTTGAACGGCTGCTTGGCTACATGTAAATTAGGATGCGGCAAGTTAGAAGCAAGTTCGCGAGCAAGTCCAGTGACAGTTCAGCTTAGCCCAGCTCCAGCAGTGGGGGGTTACTGTACAGGATGCTGAGCAAGACTAAAGTATCTGTTACAACAGATGGTGCACCAAAGATGACAGGCCATCAAGTACTAGGTACCTTATCCATGACCCGGGTCCCCGTTAAACACCAACCCCTCGCCTTAACATGGAAGAAACTCGGCATTGACGTCTGCAGCCTCATACATTACGACGATATTCATCTATGCAGCATCTTCCCCTCCCGTACATGCATATGGAATCACAGCGCTACGGACGGCGCTAGTCCCGTCTCAGCAGCAGGTTCAGTCGGAATATGAAGAGAAACATTGCGCCGTGCACCGCCAACTTTCTTTGTCAGGCCATGGACATGACAACCGCCTGCAACGCGCGACATCACGGCCTGTGACGGCGATACAAAGGACTGCTGACCGCCCCTCGCTTCCGGACCATGTGAGCGCCTCGAGACGCCAATTCCGGGGCCTGTTTGTTCGCTCTCCGTCCTCTCCAATCCCTCGCCTGTCCTCCAAGCATCGCCATCGCCCGGTCCCGGCATCGTCAAAACATCTAGCTTCTGAGACAAGCCTCTCTCCGCCAGCCCTCCCGAAGCTCCAATTCGCCTAGCCCGCGCGCTGGGCATGAGGCGGTCTGCAGGCGCATCATCATAGCGCCATGGCCGCAGCTCCTGGTTCGTTTCCCCGTCTCGTATCTGTGCCTCCATCTCTTGTTGTCTTTCCGCAAACCATCCCGGCCCGTGTCGCCTCTGACCTGCTCTCGGCAGCTTCTGCGACGCTCGCCATCTGCGAATCTCCTCCGCCCGAGGGCTCGCCCGCAAAGGCTGAAATCGCGCTGGAGTCGTCCGCAACTCCCGGCCCCAGGTCCTCGACCCCGATCCGCACCTCTAGTCATGGTATGTAGGCGCAATTCAACGCTCCGCCAGGCCCTCGGATCTGGTGCCGTTTGGCCGGATGGATTTGCTCATTGCAGTGCCCAGATGTGACCGATGCCCCGGAGGGAGCCTCCATTCACACCACGGATGGCCGCGTCAAGAACCCTGTGCCCAGCAAGCTCAAGGGCAAGGCCGACAACAAGAACGGCAACTTTGGCGTCATGCACATCGACATAAATAGCGCACAGGCTGCCCTGCGAAATGCTGCTGCAAAGCGTACGAGCGAGGAGACGGAGGCGGCAGCGAGACTGGCCAACATGCGCGGCTACCAATCCATCAAACGTAGCAAGCTGGCGTGGATTCCGCCCACCGAACCCGATCCGCGCTCTTCCGCCCCGGCCTATGGGGCTACGCAAAATGGCTATCCGAATCCCTCCTACCCTCTACCTGCCCGTAGTCTAGGGCCTTTGCCGCATGAGGCCAAGGCCGAGCAGGCTCGGCTTCTCACCTTGTTACGCAGCTTAAATCCCGTTGTTGTGGTGGATCAGCTGTGCAAAGCCTTGGCATACTTTGGGGGGATTCCAGGCGCTCCTTCATCACACGATTCGGGGTTTCCAGAAAGCGGACACAACAATGGTCAGGGATCCATTTTCGTCGGCTGGGTCGCCGAGATATTTCCCCCGGTCGAAGGAAATCCTTCAGCTATAGCACCACATCCGTCCCTCCAGAGCGATATAGTTTCTGCTGCCGCTGCTGCCGTGGCTGCTACCGCCTCAGACGTCCCCTCGTCAGCTCAACCTCCAACTCTATCTCATTCAGCTACCGCTCCTGCAGCACCATCATCCTCCACGGATGCTGTAGCAGAACCTTCACAGCCCTCAGAATCGCAGAATGCAGCTACCACCCCTATGAAGAGACCGCGAGGGCGGCCGAAGGGGAGCAAAAGCTCCAAACCTCGAATAGACAAAGGCATCAAGAAGTCGGATATGGCACACCACTCGTCCAGCCAAGTTGACCCCCTTGGCTCGCAAAATATGCTTCACCTATCGCAGACTGAGCCAGGATCCAGCGAGCAATCTAGAAATGGGCTTGTCAATCCCTCGTATCACCCCGACATATCAACGCAGCTTGACCCTGATTCCAGTATCATGAGCACTCCGGGGACGGGCAAAAAGAGAGGTCGACCTAAAGGATCTAAGAACCGACCAAAGAATACTCCCGAAGCCGGCCAAGCGGCTCCGGACTCCTCCCAAGGTCTGCTACCGCCATCGACAACCTCTAACCCTGTTGCACCCTCTCCTTTAGCACATAAGACGACAGGGAGTCTGAATAATATTTCCTCCTTTGCAAATACGATGCCGCCCAGAGCAGAGCAGCAACAGCACCCCTCGCCCACGATGCAGGAAAATGCAGTAGCGCAGCATGCCGGGCACATGGCTGTGCGAGCCCCCCAGACGAGCCAAACAAGCGCCATTCCGGGTGTAAGTAGTTGGGCTGGATCAGGAATGCAGTCTTTGGATCAATTTCGCTCCATCAACAATCACTCGCATCACAAGAAGAGAAAAGTTGGCGATCCGGTACAGGTTGCTAGGGATTCGCTATCGGCAATTGCTGGCCCCGATGTCTCCTCGCAGATTCGACACGACAATGAGGCGTCGTTACAGATGGCTGCGTCTGATCCAAATACTATGAAACGTCGGCGGGTATCCAGAGAATCGCTTCAAAGCCCCATGTTCAGCAATATCGATTCTCAATCTGGCCGCGTCGGTATGACTACGTCGCCCATACTAAACAATGCCTACAACAGCATCTCTCAAGTCATGGCTACCAATAATTTTGATAACCAGCTAGCGAGCGCCGCAGTTAGGAAAGCCTCGAGCCAGCAGCATCTACAGCAGCAACATCACCCGCAGCGATCACCAACGCAACCTCAGAGTCAAAATCAGAACCAGCCGCTTCAAAACCAGCAACAGCCGCAGCAGTTTACGCCTCAAAGACCCCAGCAGCAGAACACGGGGATGCGCCCTCCGCCCCAACTTCAGCAAGGTGGACACATGGCGCCAGGGGCCGCGAGACCCAGAGGGCCGGGCCAAATGTACGGAAATAGCCCAACGAACATGGCCTCACAGGGCTTTTATCCGCAGACAAGACAGCTACCAGGCCAGCTAGGCCACGTAGCCGGCGGCGGCAGCTTTGCTAGAAGCACAAGTGGCGGCCAAGCATCACAGTTTGGATCTTCCAACATGGCGAGGCAAACCTCGGACGAAGCTCGCGCCGCCAGCTTGTCTCAACAAGCGTCTTTAGCCATCTCGCGGAGCCAGTCGGGACAGCAGCAAGCCGCTACGGCTCGCCACCCTTCTTCTGGCTTCACCAACGGCCAACAAGTTCCCGCAACTTCGGCATCAGCACCTACGACGTCTAGCCTGAGCCAGTTCCAAACCTTTGCCGAGCACAGCTATCTCGACATGGACTACGGCCTCAACGAGCGCGACGTCCAAGATGCCGCTGCTGCATTTGGCGACTCCACGCAGCTTGAAGCTGCGCTAGCCGAACCGAATATGAGAGAGAGGCTGTACCAGGCCATGGCTAACCGCCAATAGGAAGGTGATTTGTCTTTCTCTCCAGCCTGAGAACGGCTATTTGCTTAGCCGTCTGCGCATTTGTCATTATAATGAGAGAGAGTAAAAGAAGAGTAACGCAATGTAGAGGAAACCGGTGGGTTTCGGTTTCTCTCTGAATTTTTTCCTTCCATCCAACAGCAAAAAAAGAAAATGGCATTTCATGTATTTGTTTGGCGTGTAGGTGAACTGGGACGGGTTTTCAAAGGAGTCGAAAGGCAAACTGGTTTTCTTTTTTCTTTTCTTTTTTCACATTTCCTTCTTCGGAGTTTCGAAATAGGGCAGATGACACTTATGATGAGACAGTGACAGCTTTTTTGTGGATGGATGGTGCTACGATTTGTGCCTTTTTCAATGTGAGATGTGTGTACGTTTGGGAACGATGGGTGCATTCACAGGTGTGAATGGGGTTAATATAAAGTCTGTTGGCGTTTTTTTTTTCTGCTGATCTTTTTTTTTTACTTCTTTTCTTTATTACTTGTTATGAGTCAAAGCAGGGACAGCGAAGCATGTTGAGTAAAAAAGCTATAGACTATCTATCCCGTAGGGATACGGGCAACAAAGAAAAATACATACGTGAAAAAGTCTACAATATGTGTGTGAGAGAAGTTTACAACTTAAACTATCATTGTAAATCTTGTACATCAAGTCAGAACATTCACATGAAGGGCTCCATTGCATGATTTATTTCAAAATGTGTCTTTTCTTCAATTTTTTTGCAATCAGCGCTGGCCATACCAGTTTCGCTAAAAGTGTTACAAAATGAGAGTACGTAAAAAATAGAGAGAAGAAGAAAAAAAAAGAGAAATCCGCTGCTAAGAGACAAAAGGTGGGTAAGAAAACACACACAAAAAGGTATTCAACAGACAGACAAGCAAGCAAGCAGAGCAGAGCAGATAAGATGATACAGACTGCTTAAGTTTCTATGCATGCTGCGACTGAAAGCTGTGCCAATATGCAGGATATTTCCCAGCGAAGACCTTTCATTTGATCAAGGCCAAATCTCACTCACACAAAAAAGAGGACCAAACCAGTACAGGAAAAATCAAGAGAGAGAAAAAGGAAATCTTTAGAGGGAAAGAATATGGATAGATAAGAAGAGCAAGAAAAAACAACAGTGAACCACAGTAAGCCCAAGATATTCCACAACCGGAAATTCCACGTCGCGTGGATATATCCTTCCCAAACCCCCTTCCCCCCAAAAATAAAAATAAACGCCTGTAAATGCTTTCTTTTTGCGTCAACGAGGACACAACAAAACTCAAGGAAATAATGGTATAAGCAGATGTGTTGCTTAATTCAAAAGAAAGATGGCATGCTCAATCAAAAGCAAGCGTATATAAAGACAAAAAAGGTCGAGGGAGCCGTATATGTATTGGCGAGTATAATGAAATAAGAATAAGAGAGGCTTTAATCCGCATCGTCGCCTAGGGCTGCGGCGGGTGGCCTCACTGAGTCGGAAATGTGGCGGCCGTAGCACCACTCGTCTTCTTCGTCCAGGCCATCCTCTTGGATCAGATCCAGCATGACCTGCTGGTTCCGTTTAATGTCCTGCGGCCGCTGTACAATCTTGCGATCCATAATCATGGCCTCGGCTGTTGTGAGCCAGATGCCCTGCAGTGATGGGAGGTCCCCTAGTAGAGTCTTTGCCTGGTCGCGATCGAGAGGTGCCATGGGCGCATCGGCTGAGAGACTGGTATCGAAGACGCTATATGGCATGAACCCGCCATTGTGCGTGGAGTCTACCGATCCCCAAGGACTCCTACGGCCGCCTTCGCTGAATGATGTCCGGTGCGGAGGCCGATCGCTGCTTGTTGACTTCTTCCGTCCAAAGGCCTTCAATCCTAACCGGCTCTTGGCAGAGGCTTCACCAGCAGGCTCTTTGGTGAGAGAACCGAACCAAACATCGACAGCATTCCGTCGGTTGTTGTAGCCCTTTGTTTCCCACAGCCTCTCGACCTGACGAAGACCGCCAAGGCACAGGATGGCCACATGAACTTCGTCAGGTGGTCTTTCTCTCAGATAACCACGCAATGATCGTTCCACTCGACCAACATATGTCGGCGGTCGCAGGCGGCGGCAAAAGGACGAGATGATGAGGGGGAAGACCTCATGAACCCTGAGCAGCGTCCGGTTGTCGTACATGTTCATGATTTGCTCCTCGATCGGGTTCACTGTGTATGGCTCCTTTAACAATCCGTTTCCGTGCTCAGCGATGTATTGCAGGTGTAATTTCCTGTATGTCTCGAAAAAGTGGAAAACGGTGAAAAGCAAGGGTATCAGTCGTCGGCGCATACGCTCGTGCTGTGGTGCAAATGCCAGCTTCTGGGCCTCCGTCTGTCTTAGGAATATGTCTTTTGTAATCCACTCGCACATCAAGTATGATAGCTTGGCCGCGACATGAAGACGATGCCACAGACTACACAGATAATGGAAGTTGATGTCGGCGGAGTTTTCGGGTACGGGATATAGACGAAGAGCATATGCGGGTATTTGGTTATACAGATGATGTCGGACGATGGGTGTCTCGTTTGCAGTTATGAGTGCGTGCCATGATTTCGAGGCTAATCGGAGGTTAAGAATATCTGTCAAAGGGAGGGATGAGATGATTTGGAGCTGTAATTCGCTCGGTAATGCGATGAATAGTTGATCAAAAGGTATGCTAAAAGAAGACAAAAATAAACTCTAGTTAGTAATCAAGATTCTTGGAAAATACCTGCCGACGATGAGAGAATAAAATTTTGGTGTGAAAATGACGAACCTTTTCCGCGTCGACTCCGTAGAGGCTCTTGAAGGTAGAGTCGCCGTGTGTTCCGCATCGCTTTTGGAATGTTTTGTGCCTAGCTTTTGTCGAAAACTAAGGAAGCGGCCTTTTTCGCGTTTCAAGTCGGCGGGCTTGAGGGCATCGACATCCGTGGGCTTCGATGACTCTCGCAGCGGCAGGATAAATCTCGACACGGTCGTCGTCGCCGTCGTCGTGGCACTGGATTCCGCATGATCCGCCTGCTGCTGCTGGCGGCTGGCGTGGAGTTGGCTGAGCTTCTCAAAGTAGCGCTCGGAAGCGAACTCTGTGAGGTGAGGCGGATCCATGGCAGCGACGCGGCGCTGAGGTTGGGACTCAGCCATGATGGGCGATGGAGGCGAGGTGAACGAGCGACGAGATACAGAATTCTATGGGTGACGAGCGGCCGCGGCCAGCTCGGGGAGTTGAAGGCGTCTCTATTGTTGGACGCAGGGAGAGAGCAGTCGTCTTAACATGGCGGGGATTTGTATGGCGAAGCCGCCCAGTAGGGAGAGAGAAGAGGGGGAGAGCGAAGGGGAGCGAAGGATTGCGGCGAATGGAAAGGCGACGACGACGTTGGTTGGCCGTCAAGGGCAGCTTCGTCTCGTCTCGTCTCGGTTCGTCCTTGTGTCGTCTCGAGTCGTCTCTGAGCTGCGTCTAGCCCTGCCGTGTAAACGATGTATGAGTACAAGTGCGAGTATGCGCAGCGACGGATTTGGCGCGGCGATGTAAGGCGGAAGCGGGAAGAAAAAATCACAGGCCAGAAGCTACTCGTACGCGATGGAAAAAGCAGGGCAAGGCTCTGGGCAGAGGATGAGAAAAATGAGGGTGGGAGTGTAGAGAGGAATTGCGATAGGGAAGAGAACCTGGCAAGGCATGTGTGGGAAGGACAGTGGAACACGTACAGTGGAACAGGGCCCGCTAGCAGCCCGCTAGGTGGGAGTCGGGGATCGCCCGGGGCATTTGGGAGCACTGTTTGGGGGGACGAAGCACCAGAAGCACAGCGGAGAGAGGGCGAAGGAGAAGGTCCACGGAGCCTCTTGCACCCTTTGCAAAACCGCAATGGAAGGGCGAGGGAATGCCGGTGCGCTGATTTGTCCAGGCGGCCGTTTGGCCGGCGTAATAGTGGAGCTGCTGAGGAAAAGGTGCTGGAGCCAGCGACCCGAGCAACGTTGGGGGCTTTGGCACACAGTGCGCGCACGGCCCCGGGTGCGCTGCGGAGCTCCCCAAACAAGGCCTGGTTGAAGGCTGCAGGGCCGTGGCCAGGCTTGCCAGGGTGCCCCGTACAGTGTGCCGTCTGCCTTGGGGCAATGTCCGGGGCATCTGGGGCTGGCAGCTTTGGGGAGGGGGGAGCCGCTGTCTTTGGTACGTACTCCGCTCCCCCAAACCACCCGTGGACGCCTCTCAGGCTGTCGCTCTTAGCAAATCGGCCCTCTGTGGGCCAGGGCAGTCGGGCCGCACAGTAGCGCCGCGAGCGTATCCGCACGATGGCGAACCCCCATTGTGGACAAGGCAAGGGGAAAGTTCGTTCCGTGGGAAAGCTTCGGCTAGGGGTCGCGGTACCAAGGCTGCGGCTGGCCACAAAGTAGCAGTTGGTCGTGCGCCATGGGCCGTGCTAGCACGATCCTTACCCCGAGGTACTTTCTTAGTGACCTCTTGGTACTCGCACTTGCGTTCGTCGCGTGCGCTGCTGAGATTTCGAAAATGGCATTTAGCCGAACGCGGCCAAATCGCGCTGGGAACGGGACAGTGCACAGGACCGTGCGCCGCTCTGTCAGCCCAATCCCTCGGTGTCGCAACGTGCTCGGAAGCGAAAAAAGAAAAGCCCCAAGAGGGGAAAACGAAAAATAGTCGTTGCGCTTCTCGACGACGCTTCCAATCTTCTTTTCCCTTACCGAACCGCCAGCCTCGCTAGTCCAACAAGAGTCGTAGCGCTGGGCTGGCTGGCCGTATGTACGAGGTACTTACATACAGCACAAGTTCCCTCGTCCTTGCGTTGTCCACATTGATTGATTGCGTGCGTTTGCGTGTCCCACCTTTGGATCATTTCGGGCCACTATCGCGATCCACAGCCGCACAGCATCCCCGAGGTAGTCGCGGCTCCATTTATCAAACAAAACACACTCCATAGAGATAAGAGCTTCGGGGCTTCAAATCTGTTGCTCTACCGTACATACAGACACAGTTACAGGCACAGGCAGCAGTGGCGAGGTGGGCGTTTTCTTGGTCGTCGTTGCATCAACAAGCAGGTTTTGGTTTGCATAGCTGTGCTCCTCGTATTGCTGCGCGACCGTGCGTCGTGGAGAGGACGGCAGAGGAGAGGAGAGGAGACAACAAAACAACGCACACCACTGCTCTGCTGCTACGACGAATAGGGCACGATGCCCCCCGGATGTTACGAGTGTCTTTTTCTAGCTCCATGCGTGTGAGAATCAATCACGTTGTCTGCCTGATTCGCACATGGCGCCGTTCAAGACCTTACATACGCATACTCGTACATACATACACCCGTACATACGGCAAGTGTTACTCGGCTCCAACAACCAACTCGATTCTATCGCCGATGACCATTTTCCGAAGGCGGGATATCGAGCGAAATTGGACGGAAAGGCCACGCGGACTTAAGGTGGTCTGCTGTATCGTACACACAATGGTCTGCTATCTATCCATATCATCTCCTGTCATTGTCGTCCGCTGTTTGGGTTAGCTGGTCCGAAGATAACATACGAGTACAGAGCAAGTAACTGTTTGGCATGACCATGACCATGACCATGCTGATGGCAAGTCGACACACGGCGCGCCCGTTGCTTTTGAGGCGACGGCTACCTGGACGGAAAATGCTCGATGCCCTGCTTTCACCACTCTTCCGCGCGCCCAATATTACCTATCTGTATGCCGTGCGGTACACCAACCCGACATGCATGGATTACTCTTGTCCATGCATCACGAAGCCAAAGATGCGCGCTACCCAGCATGCTAGCCGTGGCGTTGCCGCCGTCCGTCCCGGCCGAATTCTCCCTCGTTAGCGATGGAGATCAAGACACGGAAACATATGCGTCAATGCTCCGTACACTACGGATAGGGCTGGGCGTGTGAGCAAAACTGGGCTTGAAATAAGAAAACCAGCACAGTGGTCTTTGTCAGGGCAGTGTGGGAAAAACAAAAGACGAGACAAGAGGGAGGAGGCCACCGCGGCCCTACTCCGGCCGTTCTGGTGTCTCAGGGAATTGTCGATCCAAACACGAGAGGACGAGACTGCAGCAGCAGAGAGGTGAGTGGCCCAAGCCATGCCCTACCCCGACAAGCAGCTCCCCACACCCAACCAGGCCTCAATGTCATTGGGAAGACGTTGCACAGCAAGGTGATGGCAGTGAGTGGTGCTACGTCGCATTTCCGTGCATTTGCCTCTGTTGCGTTAGAGGTCATGCCAGCATCACGGAGTTGGCGCCGGTGAATTTGCTTCATGGCGGCTCGGTAGATGGGGCTGATCATTGAAATCACGGAGGCATCAGACAACTACCGAACCTTGTGTCTTGCTCCCCAGTAGTATAGCAGCAACCTGCCCAAATTCGTCAATGTGAATGCCCAAAGTAGGAAGCAAGGAGGTCCCCCAAGTGGACATGATGTGCAGTCGGCAAGATATGAATCGCGCAGAGGCAAAGAGAAAAGCCCAATCATCTAGTGTGGTGCCTATGACGCTTGGCGCTGCTTCGGCCGTCGCTTTCGCCGACAGTACGATCGATAACAAAGACAACAACTTGCACTCTCTCTCTCTTTCTCTCTTCTTTCTCTGCACTGTTTGTTCTTTTTTGTTTCCGTCTTTTTTCCTGGTCATAATACTACCGTACCGGCATTAGCCCCTTACTAGCTAGTACGAGCAACTCAACTCGTTGAAAATGCCCTTTGCATCGCCCGCAGCAGCACCGTGGCCGTTTCGGATTCCTGACTGTGGCCCCGGCATCGACCAGCGATCTTATCAAACCCCCGTATTTTCTTTTGTCTTCCCTGCATTTTGCAGCCCACGATCCGTCAAATCGGAGCAGCTCCCAGGCCCCATCACGTGATGCTCCAACATGCCTTTCCCTATCTTTGTTGCTACTGCTACCAATTGGATCGCGGTGACGTCGCCCCCAAAGATGCGTGATGGCTGCCCCGAGATTGTCTGTCCTATCAAGCGGCCCCCATAAATTGCATACCTGCGTCGGGGAGCTCGGAATGGCGCCACGGCAACAGGCCGGAAGCACTGGCAACTCGACGAAAACTATCCCCTGGCGGCAGTGCGAGCAACAATAACCTTGGCGCTGGAGCGGTAAGGCAAAGACAGAGAGAGAGTCGAGAGTACGAGTAATCAGGGAATCATGCTGCGTCGGGATTACCTCACCATCGAGCAAAATGCTACCCAAGACGGGACCCTTGCTCGAGAGCCTACTTGCACTGTGCTGCCTGAGCCCTTTGTGTGGTTTTGAGGAGAAATTACTTTGCAGCGAGCAATCCTGTGGCCAAAAGCACGGAGCCACGGCTTACCAGGATGGCACAGTAGCACCGATCCGGAGCTGAACCAATCTCACGCAACATTTAAAAAAACAAAAAGGCAAAAGCACCAGCGTCCGTCAGAGTCGCAGCCAAGGACGTAAGAAGGAAAAAAGAAAAAAAGAGACCCTCGAAACGCATGTGAAAGGTTGAAGCCGTACTAGGCATAGGGCCCTGCAGCACGTCGCAGATTCAAATCTCGCCTCGTTCGAAGGACCGATACGGTCAGCCTTTTCCAACTTCCACATTGGAGGTGCTCTTTTGCTGTTTCTTCCCCCATGCAGGGCTCCAATGGGCTGGTGGTTTCTCGGAAGATTTCACGTCTCTTTTTTGTCCTTTGCACCAGGGATTGTTCAGCACTGGAACGTACGAGTCCACTCGGATGCTGCCGTGGGGCCTCGAATTTTTCCTTTTTCCTGCTGCTTGTGTCTCCTGATGAAACCTCGTTGAGAAGAAGCTGTGCCACCCTGCTGTGAACGTCGCTTGAGTCTATTGGCAACCAACGCAACCTACAGAGTAACATGGGGCTCTCTACTGAACTGTAATGCTCCCTCCGAGCAGGCAGACAATCAATCAATCAATCAATCAATAGCAAACACCTGTCGGAAATATTATCCGAGCGTGCATGAAAAGCGTTGCCCTATCAGAAACCCAAAGACTCAGCCTCCGCTTTTTCTCATTGTCTCGGGCGGACTATTTGCGCGTCTTGGTCGTAGCCTCGGGAGCCCACCTTTGATACGGAGAGCATTGATTGACACTGGGTCGGTCCACGTTAATCTACGGGGCACGTGGATAGCGGCCGAGCTTGATGAGTGGGAAGCATTGCAATCTCATGTCAAAGAGGTACTAATTTTCTAATTCTCCGCGCTGGCTACGAAGTACTACCGAGGTAGCATTCGCGTTCATCATGACATCTGGCAATGGGGAGCTTCATCGCCGACAGACAAGTGGCTTCATTCTTTGCTATGATGCTGCTCATTCTTTAATCGTCATTTGACTTTTGAGGAGAAACGGAGCACAACCGCCTTTATCCGAACAATTAGCCGGTCAAGCCCGGAGCTGAGCATATTTGATGGCACATTTCCATATTGCTCGCACATGGCCTCCCGGGTTCGTGCAGAAACTGCCCGCACCAATACGGAGCACTTTGCTCACAAAAGCGCAGAATGGCGAGATCGGGAATCGCGGCTTCATTCCGGTGGCTTTTACATAAAGAGCTTCTAGAGCCAGCTCGCGTATGATTAGAGTACGGTAGCAGTAGCAAATGGACATGAAGCGCCCTCTCAGCTGATGCGGTAGCCGATAGGCACTCTCGGCGGTTTTCGGTGGCGATGTGGGGAATTGGGGGGATTGGGGGGATGTCACGGCGAAAATGCATCAATTGGTGTAACAATGCCCGTCCTGTAACAAACATTGCGCTTGGCTCAACAACCAACTGAACCTGAACAAGACAAGCTGGAAATTGCCTCTTCTGCCCGCTGACTCAGCAATGCTGCAGCGTGGGCTGGAAAGGAACTGGCTTCTCATTGTCATGCATGGTGCTGCTATTTATAACCATTTTGGTTGGAGCTGCAGAAATGGAGCCGCACCAGTGACTGATAAGCTGCTTAAAATAGGTGACATTTGCTCATCACAAGCTGGAGAAAAGCGAATAAGTACCTCGCATAGCTCTGTGCAGATACCGTAGATACAGAGAAGCAGATACTATAGATGCGCGATGAAGCTATCTAGACATACTAATGGAGAGAGATGGGGGGACACAGAGTCATGGACAATCTAATAGCTTTGTTCCATCCCATCTCCACTGAGTCTAAGTTGACCTCACCTCTATCAATGAGCAGGTATTTCGGACTAGACCTCGGTCTTTTGGAGGGGCTCGTGTCGTCTCAACCCGGCCCCTAGATTGCGATACATGTACTCACTTGTACGTACTCGTACAAGCATCGCCAAGACGCAGACAGAGCGACGCGAGCAACAGTGAATATTCCCGTGGGAAGCCGCAAAGGAGAAAAAAGGCAGGAAAAAATGAAGTAATCCCGTGGAGAGAGAAAGAGAAGCTGCTTCACGCGGTTACTCGCAAGTAGTGGCACCTGCCGAAGCTCCGCACGGCCTAAACCCCGACCCCCTCTTCCAATCAAGTCAGCAGAAAGGCACAAACTCAAATCTCCTCCATCCACACAATCGCTGTCCTTGTTTAATCTCTCTGCCACAAGCCCGCACCCCGTGAGATTCTTCGCTTCCCCAGAGAAAATAGAGCAGCGATCATGTACCGGCTACTGCGACCCTAACGGACAGACGACGACCACAAAAAAAAAGTAAACAAAAAAAAGATCCTCCGACTCATTGCCCCGAGTGTCACCGAGCCCCCGGGCGAGCGGACATTGCCGCTACACATCACTTGGGACCTCTGACCCAACGAGCCTCTGCCGTACGGGGATTCCTTTCTGTTGCCCTTTATCAGCTTTCCTCGCCATGGACCCATCTTCGGGGGCTTCTCGGCCGCCTGCTGCTGATGCTGAGCACGAGCATGAACTCAGGCAGCATGACGCCGAGCCTGACCTTGGCCCTGAGCGTGACCAGCAGGAGGAGCAGCAGCAGCAGCAGCATGAACCCGAGCACCAGGCCCATCAACAGCAACAGCATCAACCTCATCCTGACAGGCTAGTTGCCGTCTCGCCAGCCGCCGTCGACAGCGCTGTCGTCGCCAGGGACGATGCCGAGGACAAGCTTCTCACAGCCCCTGACGCAAGCTCGGACACAGCTCCTGTCGCAACCCATTTGGCTCGGTTCGAGTTTAGCGATCGCGGCACCAAGATCTTGATGGTCGAGTGGTATCCTGGCGCCGCCGCAGCCCCCACCCCGTCCGGTCAAGATACGACGAATGCTAGCGTCGACGTCGTCTCCAGTGATAAGGCCGGGCCTCAAACTCATGATATTCATGCCGACGATGCATTAGCCGCGCCAGCCCAGCACGTCCCCGTTCCCTCCAGCCCTGTCGTCGACGCTGCCGTCTGGGAGGTCTCATGGGCCGGCAAGTCTACCTTCCTGCCGGCCAGAGATACCGACGAGGACGATGCCAGGCGTCGGGTGTACTTTATGCTGCCTTCTGACGTACCGGTGCCCGCTACGGTGACGATTGCGCGTCCCGGACGGCCCAGCCTCGTCCTCAAGCCCCTGCCGGCCATCTTCCCCGAGCACTTCCAGGCGGAATCTGGCCCACGGGGCGTCTTGCACACGATATGGGCCAAGAAGCGCCTGAGGGAGCTGGAGCTCGAGATGGAGGCCGAGATGAGGACAAACGCTGAGAGTGTGGGCCTCGAGATGGCTCTGGCAGAGAAGCAGTGGATCGTGGAAAACTTCTTACGTGCTCCTCAGTCTCCCACTCCTACCACCATGACCCCCCGCTCTCCCGTCACTGGACGCCTTGGTGACAAGCTTAAGGGCTTGCGCCTGGCTACTTCGCCGGCAGATTTGGTGCCGAGCCCAGCAGGTAAGCTCCCCCTTCTACCCCCTCCCCAGAGAAAGCATCTCATACTTATGCATATCTCATGCGGTTTGTACTCGTGATCTCGGACTAATACAAAGTTCTCCCGAAACAGCAAACACCTTTACCAGCCCCGAGAGCCAGTCCCACATGCTGTCCCCTCTAGGAGGTGACATTGCCGTGTCATCCTTCGCGGCCATTTCACGCAGCCGCCCAACCGGCCCGATGTCCCTTGATGCTGCCCTTCAAGGCAATGCAGCTCCTCCGCAGCAGCAGCCCGATGGCCACGATGCCGAGGAGGAACTGTTTGCCCTGCCCATGAGCCCTCGGAGCCCAGACATGATCAAGAGCCCCTTTAGTGCCTTGGGGGGTGGCCTGGGCCTCTGACCCTGTTTGAGACACACAGCGCTTTTTATTTTTCTTGACAAGGATGAAAGAGACTTTTTGAAAGAAGAAGAATTCCAGATTCCCAGCATTGCATAGCCTGTTGTCAACATTTGTAACATTGATACGATACCCTTGAACGCAATCGTTTTTATCAGGGCCACATTAGAGAGACAGAGAGTCCTTGATGATAGACTTTGTTTTTTACATTTCTCTGTCTAAGCACAAAAAACATCATGTATTATCCACTACATAGATAGTAGCGTCCAGTACTTGACTGCTTCCAAGTGAAGCTAAAATGAAGCTTGATATAAGTTGAGATTCCAACAAAATGACTTTATACTTGTACTTGCTTATACAGAGTTGACTGTCCTCTTGTGTAAAAGACAGATCCCAAATATTCCCTCCTATATATGAGACATGATGAATCTAACTAGAAATTAGAAGCTCTCATATGAGGATTCTATATCATACAAGTCATCCGTCTAGTTACGAATTATAATGTTCGTCAACGATGAGAGAGTAGATGCCCAAAGAAGGGATGCCACATAAAACCGCTATTTCCAAACCCCAAAAGAACGCCAGATTTCGCTTCCCAAAAAGGCACAATTTCACCTCCAACCACCAACACGGCCCTCATCCCAACGCTCCTTTCGCTCCTGTCTCAGATAAAACTGCGTCTTCGCCTCCCTATACCTCCGTATCCACTCCGCCGCCTCCCTCTCCGACGTCTCCCCGCCATCAACGCCGTCGCTATCCAAAAAGCTCTCCTCCATGGCCTGGCAGACGAGCCCCTGTTCCTGGACGCTCTGGCCGAGGAGCTGGTAGAGCGCGGCGGGGCTGAAGCGGGCGAGGGCGTGGTCCATGTCGACTTGCTTCTGGCGCCACTGGCGCTCGAGGGCGTGCATGGAGAGGAGCTGGGCCTGGGCGGCGGAGCGCTGGTTGGCGAGGCGGGACTCTTGGTCTGCGAGGCGGGAGGCGAGGTCTGTGTTGCTGGAGAGGGCGGAGGCGAGGGCTTGGTGGGAGGCGAGGAGGGAGGGGTGGATGGAGGAGGGGGAGTTGGTGAGGGCGTTGAGGAGGGCTGGGCTTGTGAGAATGTCGGCGATGTCTTGCTTTCTATTTCATTTTTGAAGTGGTTAGCAAGATTGGGTTTTTTTTTCTGAGGGGAGATGGGGATGATGAAAACTCACGACTTGTCCTGGAGGACTTGTGGCAGCCACTGGTCGCCTGGATCAGGGATCTCGGCTGCTGCTCGAGCGACGGCGGACAGAGGAGGCGGCGATGCGGAAGAAGAAGAGATGCCTGGGATCACGGCGGCGCGGTATTGTTGCCCCGCTTCGGAGAGGGAGGACGGCGGAGGCAGAGGTGCGCCGGAGGCTGGCGTGCCGATGCGGGAGGGCTCTTGGCTGCTTGGTTTGGGGGGGAGGATGGGAGGTGTTGGGGCGTGAGAGTCGGGTGGGAAGCTGGACATGATTGGAATGCGGAGGGGATGAGAGGTTTGGTTGGGAGAGGTGGTGAGAATAGAGAGAGCGAGAGTGAGTAGTATGAGGTTGAGGTTGAGGTTGGAGGTTGAAGCTATGACGGAGCTTGAGTCAGTGCGTAGTTAGTGGGCTGGCCTCGTGGCTGGTGGGACTGTGGCGGCACTAATTTGAGCTAACTCTTATTACATCTTCATGGATGACTTGTTATATCTAAGTAAATGCATTCTTGTCAGATGCTGTGAATTCTATGTTCTATGTCCTATAGGATAAATCAATGGATGATGGATATAGGAAGAAGAAGAAAAGAAAGAAAGAAAAGAATAAAAATAGCCTTTATGTGGGAATAAGGGCAAGAGTCTTCAGCATTGAATCACCCTGTCTTAAACTCTGTTTCGCTTTGATCTGTTTTGATTCTCCCGATCCGGCCGTTTGTATCTCAATACATGAACGTATAAGAGTCAAGTCTGGAATCTTTCTGTGTTTGACAGCTGACAGGGTTGTCTCATGGTTATTTATAGAGTATGCCATGGGGCTGTTGTGTGGAGTTTGTGGGAGAACTTGTAGCATTCAACACCAAAATCTGCTAGGTACGTAGCATTGTTGTAGCCTTCCATAGAATTCTTTCGGAATTCTAGCTTCTAAGGCAAAAAAACTATCTCCTCGAAATAAACTATGACAAAATACAAAGAAATGTCACCCAAGTGCCTATTGGATCTCCAGCTCTTACGCAATGGCGGGGAAGACGGTCGGTTGCGACGTTGATTTCTAAAGTGGTGTGTACCTCATTTGTGAATAGCAGTCTACTGGCAACTATGCGACGTTCGCGTGAATTTAACCGGAAGGATTCCAATCGAACGATAATAACGCTACGTAATGCAAACTACACAGTTGAAGAGGAACAGAACATACCCTGAGCTAACCTGTGCGATGTAATTAGCAACTAATCACCGAGTGCAGGGTAGCTACCTGTATCTTGTCCATGTTTTGCGTCTCATGAGGCCCTATTCTCCCAGCCAGATACCATAACCTAGAAGCACTTTCTATCTGCAGCAATATCACCTGTATGATTATAGCTCATATTGAGTTATAAAGCAGTTGAACGTCAAATCCCAGAATCAGCTGAACAAAGACGAAACCCCCCACGGGGCTCCGGAGCGGAATCGTTGTCTGGATCATTTCCCATTCTCTCGATCTGTCTACAAGTAGAGAATGTAGAAGCCTCCATGGGAGATGAAGTGCTTCAAATCGCCTGCCTTCTCTGTCGTATCAACATCATCGCATGATTCGAGATGAATGAGGCATCAAATGCCGACCGTCCGCCTCCGTCCACTAGCTTAGCTCCTCCGGAAGGGCCCGAAGATCAGTGAGCACATCGGCGGCGCTCTTTTCTTCAGCTCAGCTTCTCCGCGTTTTGCCTCCCCCTCTCGTTCCTTCGCTATGCGCATGCGCATGTGCCTCCATCGGCCGAGGTTCGCCCCGCGATCTCTCGTTTATATAGTAGTTGCCGCTCTTAATCGTAACTCTTGCGCTTGTCCTTCGCCTGTAATGAGTCGCGAGTGTGAATTCGCGTGTGAAGGAACCTCGTCACATATGCTTTGGGTCGAGCATCCTTCATGGCTCGAGGTTAAACTACTCAATCAACAGTATACATAGTTGTTATCGATACACCAACTTCTACTGGAAACGAGGAAACCATGGGCTTCATCGAACTTCTCTTGGAGAAATTCTCCCTTTCGAGGTTCTTCCTCACTACAGTCGGCCTGTGGACCGCAGTATTCATCGTCGGGCGCATACGAGAACACCAGAAGATCAAGAGCCTCGGCAGCTACGGCCCTTCTCTAAAGCCCCTTCTCCCATTCGGTAAACAGTGGCCTCTTCTACCGTCTTGACACAGAAGAACCGATCTGCTAATCTCAATATCTCACAGGACTGGATTTTATCTACTACGGAGCTCGCGCCACATTCCGCCAGCAGACCTTTGCGCTATGGAGAGAAGTCCTCTTCTCCCAATTCTGGACCATCGAGATGCGTGTCCTCAACGAACGAGTCTGCTTCACTGCCGACCCCGAGAACATTAAAGCCGTGCTGGCAACTCAGTTCCAGGATTTCGGCAAGGGGAAGCGGTTCCACGATGAGTGGTACGACTTCCTCGGCGACAGCATCTTCACTATTGATGGAGCCCCTTGGCACGACACCCGCCAGCTTCTGAGGCCGCAGTTCTCCAGAGACCGCGTGAGCGATTTGTATTGCTTCGAGAAGCACGTGCAGGTATTGTTCAAGGCCATCGCTAATGGCGGTCCGTTGGATTGGGAGACTCAGCTCGTTGATCTCTCCCGGGCTGATGGACGGCGTGTCGACATTAAGGATCTCTTTTTTCGGTTTACGCTCGACGCCTCCGCTGACTTTCTGCTGGGCACTGACTTTAAATCTCTAACGTAAGGACATTCTAGATTCGTGCTACGTCTCTTTCAACGGACAACAAAATAGAAGTTGATGCTTTGGCTGACCACACTTCCCCTAACACAGAAACCCTCAGCACACCCTGATGAACTCCTTCAACGAAGTCCAACGCATCCAAAACATCATGGTCCGCACCCCCCTGATGGGCTGGTTCATCTCCAAAGAGCCCTTCTACTCCGGCATCAGAGACATCGAAAACCTCGTCTACCCCATCATCCAGCGCGTGCTGAGCATGACGCCGGACCAACTTGCCGCACACACAAAGTCCGATAGAGACTACACCCTCCTACATGAGCTCGCCGGCTTCACCCGTGATCCCAAGCTTATAAGGGATCAGATCTTCGCCATCCTGCTCGCCGGCCGCGACACCACCGCCTCGACCCTGTCGTTTGCCATGTATGAGCTGAGCCGTCACCCAGAAGTCGTCACTCGTCTTCGCAGCGAGATTCTCGCCACCGTCGGCACCCACCAACTGCCCACTTACGAGCACCTCAAGGAAATGTCCTATCTCCGCGCCGTCCTCAACGAGACGCTCCGTTTATACCCCCCCGTCCCATTCAACGTCCGCGTCGCCCTCAAAGACACGACCCTCCCCCGAGGCGGGGGCCCCGACGGCACCTTACCCCTATCCGTCCCCCAAAACACCAGAGTCGGATACTCGACCCTCGTCATGCAGCGCCGTCCCGATCTCTACCCCCCTATCTCGGAAACTTTCGCTGACCCGGCCATCTTCAGCCCCGACCGCTGGGCAGTCTGGCATCCTAGGCCACACGAGTTCATCCCCTTCAACGCCGGTCCGCGATTCTGCCTCGGTCAGCAGTTTGCGCTTACGGAAATGGGATACACGCTATGCCGCATCTTTCAGCGCTTCGACCGGGTCCAGAGCTTTATGCATGAGATTGATGGCGGCGAGCTGCAGTTGAAGACGGATATTGTGCTGACTCCGGCGCAGGGGGTGCATGTTGCCTTTTGGGAAGCTAAGAATAAGGAATGAGCAGATATACCACCAACTTGTACAGAAAGAAAAAGGAAAGAAAAAAGAAAAAAAGAGAAGAAGTGGCGCTGGATCAGCAGGTACTCGAGGTATAGTAGTAAGCACTTAACCTTCTCCCCTCCTTTTGTAAGATACTTAGTAGTAAATCCTTCACATGTAAATAACAGATAATGGGTCCATTTCAAAAGCTTATCTTGATGATATCAGAGCTCGTGAATTCCTTGGAACAGTTCCCAAACTCATTCTGTATCTACAACTCATAGCCATGCAAAGAGCGCAACCTTGGTGCCCCCTGTGTAAAATCCTTGCAAAAATAAAAAAGACATTTCCATCATCATACGCCTTAGCAATCTCCATCATGCAGGTTCAGAATCCATAAACACGTCATTGCCCCTTTTCTCACTTCCTCCCAAAGCTATCCTTAACGGCCTGGCCAAACCTTGCAATCGCTGTGTTCATGTTCTCGGGGCTAGCCGCAGCAAAAGTGGCACGGAAGTACAGGCCTGGCAGAGGAGCGTCCTTTTCGGTGGCAAACCATGATCCTCGGGCAACGAGCACGCCGCTCTTGATGCACGAGTCGAAGATTTCCTGCTCAATCTCCTCAAGGCTGCGGGTGCCAGCGCTGGGGTGCTTGGTGTGGTCGATAGTAAACCACAACTAATAACAAGAGTCAGTTCCTTTCGATTTTGTAGCAGCTTGAGGGAAAGAAAAAGGTATGGTTAAAACTCACAAACATGCCAGCAGCAGGAGGCGTCCAGCTGACGAGATCTCGCGGCAGGTTATCTTCGCAAGCAGCCAGCAGGGCGTCTCTCTTCTTGGTGTATTCCAGTCGCAGGTTCATCAGCCATCTCAGGTAGCCCTCGTGGCCCCATGTCTCATCCAGCAGCTTATGGACAATGACTTGCGAGAAGCCACTTGGTCCTTGACTGGCAACCTCAGCGTGGCGTTGGTATCTTTCGACAATCTGCTCTGAGGCGACGATCCATCCAAGACGGGACCCTGGGACCAACACCTTGGAAAGAGAATCCATTCGCATAACTCGGCCATCGATATCCATGCTGACGTATGTGGGAATTAGAGACGATACGAATTCTTCAACATTGTTGGGTGCAGGGGCGTCGGGCTGGCCGCGGCCTGTGTAAGGCTGCATCTGGAGGAAGTAGTACGGCTCATCTTCGAGGATGAAAATGTCGTGCTTTTGCGCAACTCGATAGATGGCCTGCCTTCTCTCGAGACCTTGGGTTGCTCCGGTTGGGTTCTGTCCCGAGGGCACGGTGTACAGGAGGTGTGGCTTTCTGGAGCCCCTGGCCTTTGCGTCCCAGTTGGTGAGAAGCTCGTCCATGGCTTCGGGAATGAGTCCCTGATCATCGACGGGGATACCGAAAGCCTTGACGCCTAGGGGGGTGATGGTCTCGAGAGCCGTTGAAAAGCTAAAGTCTTCTGTCAAGACCGAATCGCCACGGTCCTTGTCCAAAAACATGCGCAGTGCCTGTTCCAATGCTCCGGTACTGCCAATGGTCTGGCAGATTCTCCAAT